GTTACATAATATAGTATAAATGACAATGTATGTAAATACTTAGTGTGGATTATGTATAGGTGATAATGTCAGATGTAAATCCTTAACTACCAGCTGTGATAGGGTGTACAGGTGATACTCTAAATATGTAAAACTTAACTGTAGGATATGGTACAAGTGACTAGGTACGTAAACACTCAGTTGCATGTTGTCTTGACTAAATATCAATTATAAATATGGTTACAAATACTCTAATATTCACCTTATTAATCAGATTAATGTAGACCTAATTTTACAGTTAACTATGAAAGTTCGAGTACTTAGTATATTGTATTTATATTACATAATAATGAGGCAAGGAAACAACGCTTATAGTGACAAAAAGTTTTACTTAGAGTAATGTACATTATTTCTTAAAATTCTCTTACAAAGTCTATGCAAACCTTTCTTTAAATATCTTTTTGCTTAATACTAGTTTTGTTATATCGACAATGTGTTTTAATAACAAATCTATTCAACATCAGTAACTCAAATTAATAGTCCTTTATAACTGTTAAAATATTTTCATTTATTTATGTTTACGTAAGCTCAACAGTTCTCTTTTATTTATCAATTAGTAATTTAGGTATAATAAATGATGAAAAAAAAATTAAATAACTTAGTATAATTTAAACTTACAATACTCGTTCTGTTTCTTTTTTTTAACGGTTAAAAGCCATACTGATAAAATACATTTGTTTCGAAATTTCACGCTGCAAGTAGCCTTACCTAATTTGCAACAGACAGACAAGAGGGTGGGTAGGTAGTAAGTAGCATCCACTATCAACTCATAAGCTACTCTTGTCTGATCGAATATAGATTTCAACCCTTACTCTTACACAGCATCCACGAGCCTGATGTGCAGATGTTTTTTGCAAGAACGGCTAGTGAACCACAAATCTTTAGGTTGACATTCTGGGCATGCAAGCCACTAGGCCACGGCCAACCTAAATTGTTTATAGCTATGAACAATTTTGCATAATGGGCTGTCTGTGCTGGACCAACTGCAGGGATTGAACCTCGAATCGTAGTGTTATAAAGCCCCCAAAGTTTACTGCTGACTCAACGAGGGGAGCAAATGAAAACATATGATTACATGTAAAACAAGGTATACATAATCGATGAACATTAGAATTTTAAATATACTAGTAGTGTAGTGCAGGGTATCCCCCCAGAAAAAATTGTTAATATCCTAATTTTCGGGCCTAATGCCATAACGTGATCGTAACTAAGCTATTAAGATCAAAATTGGCGTAATTTAATATAAAGAATATTGCCTCAACGGCTTTTTGTTCAAAGAAAAAAACGATTTATTTTTTTATTTATTAGGCTTCTTTGGATTTACTTTTCAAGATCAAAATTTGATTAAAAGACGTGCGTGATGGCTCAAAATGTTAATTACGTACTAAACAATACTATCTAATTTTAAACAATAAAAATTAATTTTCAAATTTCCTGTGATATGCCTCAAAAATGTACCTATTTTCTTGTCTTTTTTAAAATTTGTAAATTATTTTCTAGATACGTTTTGTTGAATATATCAAACGATATATGAACTATAAGTATTGAAAATAACTAAGAATAAGCGAAGGAACATTTATCCTTAAGTAAAATAGTTTATTTGGATGTTTGCCGAAATTTAATGCTAAAATGATTATGACAATGTTAAAAAAAATGATTTAAATAAACTAAATCCAAAAGATCGGAACATCATTTAAAGTGCGAAATTTGGTCTAAACGTGTGGTGATAGTGATGATGAAGAAAACTTATTCATATAAGTATTTATTCAGTGATAGAGACTCTTTCGAGCAACCTGGATAAAGTTTTCGGTGAAACTCTACTACTTGCAACATGAATTGTTGTTGCCGTCAATAATTGGTTAAAATCTTTGTATAGTCGCTTATAAGATGGTTGTTGCGCTCTTTGAAAATTAGGGTCTTCTTGCTATGATGATGGTCGTTTAATGAGCCAGGCTGCAAACCAGTGCATCAGGTGGACTAATATATTCAAACTGCTATAAATTTTAATATATACTGCTAACTATTAATCTCTAAGTTACTAAAGTATAACTTTCTTTTAATTTAGTTTAAAGTATCTGTTATTTTGAGCTGCCAACCCAAAATACCTATAGAAATAAAATAATCAGTGAACATTTTCGAAATTTTAAATTACAAGCTAGCTCAAAGATGTCTATAAGAAAATCCAAATAAATTCCGATTTTAATTTAAAATGTGATAAAATTATAACTAGTACTTAACGCAAACTCACTTGAATCAAAAGAGCAGTACACTAGAGTGTCTCAAAAACACGAAAAAAGGATTTACTCAAAAGGAAAACCAACCCTTATAAAACCAAGAGAATCTCAAGAGGGTATTGAAGGGATAACTCTTGAGTCACTTATAAATCCTTCTTCATGGTTTTTATTTGACTCTGTGTTGAATGATTAGAAAATACCCTATTTTGTCAGTAGAACCTCTGTAAAATATTGCAATAATAAAACGTAGTCTGTTGCCATGGCTAATTTATGGCTGGAGGACTCCAAAAATCCTTTCCCAATAGAAATATTCTTACAGCGAGATTGTTCAGTAATGTAGAGCCAAAGCACACATAATTTTGAAGAAAGGAGCCTTGAATGTTCTTCATGGAAGTAGGACGTCACTGGGCTCTGAAATTAAACCCCTAGGCCATCAATCTGAGACAACACTTTTATCCACAAAATGAAGACTATGGTTACAAAAGAGAACCCTCTGATCCAAAAACCATCGCGATGAAGCTGGCGTATCATCTGACACTGTTAACAGCCCAATAACCAAGTATCTAAAGTTAATCAAGGCTCATAAGCCAAAGATTCACACGCTGCCAGGCAAACTACGAAAATCAGTGGCTGTTTTAATAAGAAAAAAGGCCAAGTAAATAGAAATTTCAGCTATTTCATTGGACCGGTTCCTCGATATAACTTAGTGTATAACTGTGCTTTTGATCCGCTTAGCTGTGGTGCTAGAAAAATGGAGTGTAATCATGGTCATCAGAATGTACACCATCGATTAAGGAGAAAGTAATTCCAAAGGCAGCATGAGACCTGGAACATTGATATTATAAAATATGATTAATCTTAATATTTGATCATTAATAGACGATGTTACGTTTTCAATAAGGAGAATATTGATTAAATCAAATACTTGTAGTTTCTCAAAAAACTGTTCATTTTTAATAACCACTGTATGTCTTATATAAGCATAGAAAGATTCTAAAGACTATAAAATATGTGATTTCTAACGAGATTTGAAGCATATTAATTTCATGTATTCTAAGGAAATAACAGGTGTTTCTTAAACCTCTTAGTTCACATGATTGAACACTTCATATTCATGAAACGTTTTTGACGTTTTTTACATGTATGCAAGTCTAGGTGAACATACAAGTTTTATGAAAGACAGTTAGGTGTAGAATATGGCAAACTAGCTAGTTTTCTAATTACACATTGTTATAAGCCATTTTGTGCTTCCAAATCTCATAAGGGAGGTGTTAGTGGCTTCCCTATTTTTACTTGTGGGATGATCAGATGTGATGTGAACAGTACACATACTGTGGGAGAGATTATGATATAATTTTGTAAATATATGTTTATAAACTCTCTCTCTTCAGAGTTTGCTCAGTAGTGTTGTCTATTGTCCTGCACACTTGTCTCATTTGATTTGGTTTGTTGTAAATATAAAATATTTTGACTTTTCCTTTACATTGTATTCAGTCTATTTCATCAAATCAGTCAAAGTCAGAAATTCATATTTAATCACGCATAACTTTTCTGCTTTTCTTTCTACTATTCCAATAATTATATCTGAAAACATTGTATCTGAGAATACCGTGATATCATGGGAAGAAAACATTGTAACTACAATTACTAGAGTATCGAGTCTTGTAAAATATATCTTAATTTAATTTAGACTAACTCAATTTATCAATGTAAAATCTTTATTGTCAACAGTTGAACAAACATACATAACCATTCTCCTCATCATTTCTGTGCATACTGAGTATGTAGTCTCAATATAGAATGTTCTTCAAGGGAGTAACTAAACTCCTCTCACCCTTGTTATCTACAAAAGTGAGTCACTTAACTAGGGTGCCACATGCTCTTTCAAGTGAGAAAGATTCATGTAAAGTAGAGCATACATTATCAAAATAGACTATGGACTTTTCCACTGCTGGCACTTAAGATAGTATCTTAAAGTAAAAACATATGTTAATTTGTAGTGAGAGTGATCATTAATCACATGGGTAGCGTCTTCACCATGAGTAGAATAGTACTGTTGTTTTTCGTATATAATGCATTGTTTTCTCAGTCTTGACAAGAGTGATTGACTTGATTGGTTACAAATGTTGATTCGCTTTAAACACACTGAAATGCGTCTTTTGCCTTTAATAGTGCTTATTTGAAATGAACATTGTTTTACTATATTATACATGGTATTTATTATCTTTCTTTTCTTCAAACTCAGACAAGGTGAAGAAAGATATTGTTATTCTATGGTTCTTGCCAGTGTCCCTGAGAGTGCCACACTCCTATCTTATTCGCAAATGATAACTTTTTAAAATTGAAATTTTCAAACTGAATGATACCTTTTGAGCCCGTGGGTTAAGTGGCCTGATCAGAGACCCCCCTAGGGTTTAGGTATAGCCATTCCTAATTTTTAACTATTGACCAGAAAAATGGCAACCAATTAGCAGCATCTGTTGCCACAACTGCTTTGTTTGGCTCTTTGAATAGAATAGTGAGACTGGCTGTCAATTTTATAACTCATCCAGAGCTGAAAGTATGTGTGGCCCAACAACTTTTAACCTCAACATAAACAAAAAATTAATTAAAGAACATTTATTTCTACGCTAATAATGCAAACAGTTGTTTCTTGAAAAGAAAAGCGACAACATTGATGGGAAGTCGTTTTATGTCATTGATGACTGATTCACATTTCAGACCTACAACTTCAAATCCTCAATTTCAGGTTGTGTATGAATTACTTATCATAAGTTAACAGTGTGCATTTTAAGAAACAATTTCAAATGAAAAATGCATTCAATGAAGCTGAGACCCGGAACAAAATTAAAGTATTTGAAACAATATTAAACGTTTTCATGCATATTTCTAAAATCATTTATTGTTTACTTGACTTATTACTAATGTTGGATATTTATATAGATTGAAGGTGTGTAAAAAAGCGTAAGTTTATCCTAAAAAAATAGAAATAATGAGTTTCGTTAGAGTCTCTAACTATCCATCAGTATTTTGTCTCTTCTTTTTTCACTACTTTTCTATTTTTACCTTGATGTTGCCATCTGTAATGTAATATGTAGTTTTTTAACTGGTGTGATGATAATTGTGATAAGCAACATGATCACATGTACACAGTGTGGTCACAAGTAAATAGACACCACCTTTTCAGAAAAAATGAAATTTTTCAGTCATATTCAAATGAATTGATATATTCATAATTTATTTAATATCTAGTATATCTTCCTTTCGCTTCGTGGAGTTCGTTGATCCTTTGGGGCATCGGGAGAATCATCTCGTCAATTTTAGATTATGGAATTTTCGCCCACTCTTGCTTCAAAACTTGGAGTAGATCGGTCTTCGAAGTTGTTTTTGTTGTTGTTGTTGTTGTTTCTTGACTTGCCGGTCGAGTATGGCCCAGAGGTTTTCGATGGGGTTCATGTCAGGAGTTTGGCTCGGCCAGGGCAACTTCTGGATACCCTTTTCTTCCTGCCACTTTTGGTGTTTTTAGCAGTGTGACACGGGGCTCCATCTTCCTGGAACAACTTTGTGTTCTTCTCTACGAAACCCGAGGAATAAAGTGGCAAGAGTCCTTCCTCCAAAATTTCGACGTATTTCGCAAAATTTATGTTGCCAACGCACTCCACTAAGCTCGATCTCCCACCAACCAGAACAGCTCTCCAAACCATCAGGCTGAAACCACCATGCTTCACAGTTGGCTGCAATCTGTTGAGCCAAAACTCTTGGTGAGGCATTCTTCAGATTCATATCATCCACTGTCCGAAAATTGAGCGAATCTTGATTCGTCTGAGAACAATACGGTCTTCCAAAAATCCAGAGGCTTGGTCATCATATCACTTGCTCACTTCTTTCGTCTGACTATGTTGGCAAGTCTTAATAGA